TCCTTATACTGCCAATCCTCTTCATATGCTTCAACTTCTATTTATAGACGAGAATACACAGAGACGGAGAGGAAGAGACTGTGACGTGCACGCATATCCTCTTATGTATTAATCTAACTTAATTTTTGCTTTAATCTAATATTATAATATCTTTTTTGAATTGTTGGTTTTATTTATTATGTTTCTTGTTTTATTTTATTTTTTTGCAGGGGGACATTTACAGAGATAAACAGATGTTAAAGAAAGAAAGAATAACAATACAAGAGAAAACAAAAGCATAAGTGTTACAGAATGAGGAAGTTGGCCCAGATTGGTAAACTGCTGGTCAGAATTTCCCATAGAGAACGAATGGAGAAGGAAATTATTCAACAGTAGAAAGAGAGAAAAGAAACGAAGAGAAACGTTATGATGAATGGCGTTCAAGCTGAAAGCAATAAATTTCGATAAGAATTAAGGTAAGAAAAAAATTGGAAAATAAACTCAGTCTGAAGAAGCAATCTTTGAACAAATATCAAATGAACGGAATTCATAAATAAAAGTTGTTACATTAAATAGAGAGAAATTGGTGTCAAAGTGAAGATTGTGGAAACCGTTAGTAATATTATAATTATTAATCTGACTTAGATTCTTGATAATTTATTCGATCACCATTGGAAGCATCGTGTTATGTCCTTGTGATGAATTTAGACTTAGTAAATATCTCTTTGCAAGATTTTGTTTAAAAACAACATGCTAAAATTACAATGAAAACAGATAAATATATAAATAGACAGAAAGTGGAAATATATATTAATCAATAATAACTAGGAAAGAATTAAAGCAAATATCATACTGAAAATATATATGGTACGAGCAAACTTTAGAAAGCAATTTTTTTAATTCAAAAATGGTTTTCTACAAGTTTTTCAACTACAACTTTTGAAATAAAATTTATGCACAGACCAAATAAATGTTATTATTGCTACCGTTACATAAAACAGTGATGAGAAGAAGAGTTGAACATATGTTGAGAATTCAACAAAAAACAAGTGAATGTTAGATATAAGCAGACTGAAAAAGAAATAAAAGAGCCATATATATATATATATATATATATATATATATATATATATATATATATATGTCGTCTGAAGATCGTGTGAGCATGAAACAAGAAAAACGATTTGGGCTGTACTTTAACAGGAGTTAATGTTGTCAAGCGTTTTTTAGTCTGTCTAGGTAATTTAGGCGTTGAAAAATTTACTGAGTTAGGTTTTTTATACAAGTTCTCTGTTGGTTTCACCAACGTTTTTCTTTTTTCTTAAATAACACACACACACACACACACACACACACACACACACACACACACATATATATATATATATATATATATATATATATATATATATATATATATATAAAGAAATATAGTCTTAAGGTGTGCTAAATTTATGGAATAAAGTGCTCGATATCGGTGATAGAGCGAGTGTAAATATAAAAGTGAATATTGAAGTCAACACTTAGAGGCGACAGTCTGTTTCATGCTACATGCAATCGTCAGGCCACCGATTGCATTTAGCATGAAACAGACAATCGCCCTAAGTGTTGACTTCAATGTTGACTATTATATACACACACACACACACAGACATATATATATATATATATATATATATATATATATATACCGGGTGTAACATCAAAATTGTTCAAATCGTGTAATAGCATACTTATCCATCCCACAAAATGTTTAATATCTGAGAAAAAAAAACACACTAAACTAATTCAATTTCTTCTTCCAGGTTTTCAGATGAGACGTTTAGCCATCTTGACAACATTTTTAGTAAGAATCACTGAAAGATTCTTTGAGTTATTCATCTAAATAGAGAGCGGGTTAAAATTGTTTTGTGTCAGACCCACTTTCTTCACAAATGAGCAATGGTGAGGTGAAGAAGATCGTTCAGGTCTTCAGTAATAATACCAACATTCATACTCTGTTTTCCATCTTCAAAATCCATTCAAGAACCATCAAAAGGACGGTAAATAAGTTTGAAAAGAGGGAACAGTAGAGAGGAAAACTGGATCAAGAGATCAAAACAAAGAGAGGGATCATCATTTCAACTTAGATTTAAAGAGATCAATTAGAAAAGATTCAGCTCTATTTATAATATGTTTGGCATGTGAGAGTGCTTCAGCTATGACAATCCAAAGAGCAGTGAAAAAGGACTTGAAAATGAAATCTTACGTGAAACCTATAAGGCACCTTATTAGTCTAGGACAGAAAATCAAAAAAGATTAGAGAGGGCAAAGATCATCTTCAATAAGTTTGAAAATGATCCTGAATATATATATATATATATATATATATATATATATATATATATATATGAACTTTATTTCAATACTTCATGGGCTACCGATTCTTAGCAAAAGATTAATTAATGATGAACATGTTTATGATCAGATTCATCACGATACTTCTGTTAAGAATAGAAAGTAATTATACATTCTTATTGCTCAAAGTAGATTCCAATAGTGTTACAAAAACCTCGGAGAATTCCAGTAAGATATCTTTAATCATTACAACGGTTCAAATCTTAATCTAACAATTGTAAAATTTTGCTGTTACATGATCTGGACAATTTTGTTGTTACACCCGGTATAAGTATATGTGAGAGTGTCATCCCAAACAAACACAGAAGAAAAGTCCCCCTTCCACCACACAGAAATAACCAAACACAAATAAAGCATAAATAGATCCACTTTTGAAAAAAAATAAACCAGTTTGTCTGAAGATCACGAAAGCGTGAAACTATATATATATATAGAGAGAGAGAGAGTCATTCACAGACAGACTGTTTGATTGAAAAAGAAGCTCCTCATTGTGGCTAGACATCTGATCGCTTCAAGCCGGGACCGAAACTCGACTGAATTCGTATCAGCCGGAGATCCTAACCAGTAGGTTATCGACGTTCGACAGAGATAAAAGCGATTTCTGGCGTATTTATTTTTTTCATAAACATGTCAGTGATTTAGAAGACTCAATCCGTTGGGAGAGTCTTGCATTATTAGCAGCAATAGTTACTGTTTACAAATACGCGCTTTTTCCCCACAGTACTCGAGCGAAATAATTTATCTTCGGGACTCAATATAAGCACACACGCGCACACACACACACACACGCTTACCCCTCTCCGTGTCATGAAAGGGTAACCTGGGCCGAATGTCGCTGTTTAGTGTTCAGTACTGAAAGCATATTCTCCCTTCGTGCAAAATGTTCGATTGAAATCTGGAGAGCAGCATCTTTTAGGGTATATTCTCCAACAATACTCTGGTTCAACCCCTGACTCCATGGCGTGAGACACCATAATTTACAACCTTTATTCGCCTTTAGTGTTTGTGGAAGAAAGTGTAAACCGTGTCATATACGGGCAGAACTTTGTTCAACTCGTTCTGCTACGATTTCTGCAATTGTGATTCAAACCCATCTGCAAGATCTTCAAAAACTAGCCTGGTTAACACGAATGACTTAGGATTATCTACAACTATAGTTTTATTGCATCATCAGCAAATAAAATCGTGGAATAATAGATCGAATTCATGCAAAGATTAACGCCCAATTTCCGTGTATTAACATGACATCTGAATACTGTTCATATAGCTATTATTTTGAAATTTGAGCACGTATTGATTTAAGGGTACAATCCACCTGTACATGTCATCTTGAGTAAATTGAAACTTATTCGGATTGGTGTTGCAATTTTATTTTCAGTCAGTGTATTTGGTCGAAATCTCCTTTTGTGCTGCATTTTGTAACCGTAAGATTTGAAAACCAAAATGAATGGATTAAATTATGGATGTCTAAATGAATTTTCCAGAATATGAGTGCATAAATTAACGAAAGTGAATGATTTAAAGAATGAATGAATGACGAGTGATTCATAAGCAAGAAGATTAAAAGGACCAACGGAATAATACTTCACTGCCGGCCTGTTTTCATAGCAGAAACGCTCACCGATTACCTAAAATGGAGAACTACCAGAATACGTTTTGATTTCTGTCAGAATCCTAGCAATATTCTCGAAGTCAAGTTTAGAAATTTAGAGCATTTCTACTGATGTAGCGGCATATTTTCAAGATTCGAGTAACGTTTCTTAAAATACATTCCATTTGATTGCTGTTTTCTCATTTGAGAGAAGCAAATTGATTTGTAATGCCTTAATTGGTTAAAAAAATCAAATACATGAAATTTTATGGCGGTGAGGAATTTATTTATTTTTACACAAACAGTCAAAAATAATTAAATATTTTTAAAAGTCTTTATTATGATTAGAATATTGTCACATCTTAGTTTAAAAATATTTTTCCAAATTATTATAGTTGACAAATTTGCAAGTGCATTCACCGACATGCACCGATCTACTTTTTTTTCTTTTTGGAGGTTTTTCATAGATTTCCTGATGTCCCAAAGACAAAGACTATAACTCAAGTTATCTTTCTTGCATTGGAAAATTAATGGCAAAAAATACAAATGCACTTGTCACACAATATAGTAAGATAAAGTATGAAATTAATAACCACTTGGTTTTTATCTTAAACATTAATTACTGAATCAAATCTCGCAGTGAACGAGAACAAGGTTTTATCTATTTAAACATTAATTACGTTTCGGCCGTTGAATCAAATCTGGTGGTTGGAAGTGAACTAAAGAACAAGTTTAAAAAATTAAAGGTATTGAAATGATTAACGCTTTATTTACATTATTTAATTTGTTTTTACTGAATCCTTTCAAACTTTATAACTGTCACCAATTTCTATTTTAATATCTCACTACTTTTCTTTCGTTCGTTCGTTCTTTCCTGGCTTTAATCTTATTCATGCTGTGTATTATAAGTGTATTACTTTACTAGTAATTGCAAAAATATATGTATGATAGAAATGACGATATTTGGAAATTTTACAAGTCCAGCTAGTGTAAAAGAAAATGGAATCGAGTTAAAGTGAATTGACGAAAAAGACTATCCGAGCATACAAATAAATAATAAAGAGGAACAACTGAAAGATAGGAAATAAGACGTAGAGATATAGATACCGTAAGGGTTCGACAAAAAGTAGAAAGAAGGGGGTGTATATAAAAGAGGGGCAATTAAGGGGGCTAAGTCTTCTTCAAGAGAGGATCCTACAGAACGAACAAGAAAATTATTCATAAAGAAAGAACTGCGAAACAGATAGAGGAATACATGTTTAGAATATAAAGACATCCAAGAAGAAAACAAACGAGTTTTCGTTCATTGCTATAAATGAGCACCTCATTGGTTATGTTGCAATGAGATAAAAAAAAAGTTTGAAATGTTTGATATTTAGCTCTCTGCTAAAGTCAGCTTTCTCCCATTACACAGCGATTTCTTCGTCACTAGATACAAAACTTAAGAGAAGATTATTGTTAAAATGGATAAAATTACGAGATCTTATTACTCATTCCTGTTCGTAGCTGATGACAGTTTGTCTTTTTTGTTTTACCTCATGAATAAAATGCATGAACAATGCTTTATCTTTCAGTTTTCAAACCAGAATCTGTTCGATATTAGAAAATTATCTCATAAATATAACGTAAAGTTAGCGATCTTGAGCTCAAGTTGTGCGAAATAAGATATTTCAATGATCTTCTATCCATCTTCAGACGCCGACGTATGACTCTTCTTAACCGTCCTGGGTATGACGATAAACTACCTCCGCGTCCTGGGTAAGACGATAAACTATAACCAACAGCAAGGCCTCTAATCAGGAGCTTTTCAGGAGCGTGGAACCACCTCTTAATTATTGGTGTTCCCAGATTCACTCCGACCCGGGGTGGTAGCACCTGTTAGGGTCCCAGCTATGGCAAAATAGTTAATCCCTATACTGAGGTAAAAAGCCTTATGAAAGTGTAAAAGGTTTTAATACCAGAAATACTTTTCAAAAAATTATTACCAGCAATAAATTTTGAAGGGGAAAAAAAGCTATTACCAGCAATATTTTTTTAAAAATAATATAACTAGCTATACATTTTTAAGGAAAAAATATATTTAAAACTTTTTACGAAAATAAAACCATCCAAGATTGTAAATTTCTTAAAAGAAGTTGGATTGTACTCAAAAATATGAGTAATTGAAAATTGTGCAAATATATATGTATACATACACACCTTTCTTCTTTACCAGAGTATCGCTATGAATCTATTTCAAAAATTTTGTTGGCATTAAATGACCCACTAAGGTTGATATACCATAAAACAAAACAACCAACCAACCTAGAAAGAAAATTTAAATTTGTAAAAAGTAATAATAAAAGCAATGGAAACTGGTTTTCAATATCTTTTCTTACAAATGTTCCATATCTTTACGTCTGCTAGAGAAACCTTTAGACTAAATCTTGTATTTGAATAGCAGTAATTGAGATAATAGCTTTCTATTTCAGTAGGCCCAATATTTATTTATTATCTCTTATAGCATTTACTTATGAACTACGTCCAACAGCAAGGCCTCTGATCAGGAGGTTTTGAGAAGCGTGGAATCACCTCTTAATTGCTGGTGTTCCCAGGTCCAACTTGACACAGGATGGTAGCACCTGGTAGGGTCCCAGTTATGGGCAAATAGTTAACCCCCAAACTGGGGCTAAAACACTATGAAAGTGTAAAAAAATAGATCTTAATACCAGCAATATAATTTTGTAAGAAAAATTATTACCAGTAATGAATTCTTGAAAGAAAAAAAAATATTAACAGCAATACATTATTACCAGCAGTACATTTTTGAAGAAATTAATATTACCAGCAATACATTTTGGGGCAATATATTAACAGCAATAAAAATCTTGTCGGCATTAAATAACCCATTAAGGTTGATATTACATAAAACAAATCAAACCAAACTAACTCATAACTCAATGTAAAGACCAGAGAATGAGCCAAGCATAACGAAAAATACCCCTCGGGTTAGTTCTAAATATAACAAATAAAACATAGGCTTACAAAAAGCAAACATTCTTGCTGTACTTCTGGCTTAAAAGTGAAATACTAGATGTTTTCCTTTTAAAACTTGTACTCAACAATAAAGTACTTTATGAAGTGTGAATTCACGATCTGTGATTCGCGTGATTTTTCTGATAAACAACAACAATCTACAAGTGGCACGATTGAAGCAAAATTCAGAAAGGTCCTTATTTTTAATTCCCAACATCGGTGGTACCTTTAAATGATAGAAAACATTAACAAAAATATTCTATCAACTGTAGATAGACATAAGGAACTCTTATCTAAAATCTTTAGTTTAAGAAGAGAAAAATTCTTATAGCCGTTAATCTGTAAAACAAAAACCAACAATTTAGTCAAATAGGGAATGAAGATTATGTTGCGCCAATCCCAGAAAATGGGAGGAAGTACCTAATTCTAAGATATTCATTTAGAATGCTGACATTTAATTCCTTTTGAACATCGAAGCAATTTCTTTACATATTTAATAATCTTAGTTTTAATAATCTTAGCATCGTACAAAATTACAACTATAGCAAAGGTGAGCAGGATCGAACTCACGACAGTAGTAATTGTCTACTAAACTAACAATTGCTCCTCTCAATGGCCCAAATTTTAAACATTGAAGGCTTTAGATTTTTCATAGTTGTTTTAAATTATTCAATATCAACAAACAATCTTTATATCATATAAGTATTTTCGGTCATGAAAGTTAAGTAACAACAAACCTGCTTAATATAGAGCACGCATAATATGATCTATTAATTATATTCTCAATCGTTCTTTTAATAAATTACGAAGTTATATAAAGGTGTATAGTCAACTTTCTCTTTTTCGATAGAGTCAATGTTTCATTGGATAGATAGATAGATAGATAGATAGATAGATAGATAGATAGATAGATAGATAGATTAATTAACAGACAGATAGATGTGCAATATGCTCTTTCATTCTTTCCTTTTTAATGGAGGTATACATATATGTAATACTTGTTTTTTTTTTTCTCTTTGAGAGAGAAAAGTATTTTAAGTTTTGCGTGAATGTCACATGTGTAAGAGAATCGAGCTATGCGAGGACTTTGTCGGTTCGACAACTAAAGTCAGAGGTGACCATTATTCACAGATATAATGTCAGAGTGCGCAGCATCAGAAATAATGCGTAATTCCTCTGATATTTGGTGAGGAAGTTGAATCTTCCATGTTTTCTGCCAATGTCGACGGGATGAGGAGAAATACCGGAAGTGCACGGCCTGATGGGAAAAATAAAAGAAAAAACACGAATAAAAAACGGGCAAATAACTGAAAGGTAGTTTTCTTGTATTTTATCCCTTTTCTTATTTTTTTATTCTTTCGGGTCACAAATTTCTTTACTTTTGTATGGACGAATGTAGTTCAGTGGTTAATGCAATGGACTGGCGATCATCGATGTTAATTACAGTTTGACTAACTAACTCATTGGTTTTTGTTTTCATTTTTAGTTGTTTTTTTTTTGGAGGGGAGGGGGTCTTTTACTTCGTCATTATTTTCATAATTTTTTTCATAAATCTTCACTTCCTCACTGATCCTATGTGAAAATATTTTACTGGTCCTACGAATATTTATATTTGTATATAAAATATTTCTTGTCACAATCCTGAAGACCCACTGGATGCCGCTCTACTTTTAGCCAATAATAATTCACAGAGCACGGACCTATCTGATACGACAGTTAGAAAGATCATTTTGCAGACTAATTTGGTCGTCCTTATTCGAGAACTTGTGCCACACTAAGCTAGATCTAGCAAAGAATATAACCGACATAACCTAGCCACTTAAAGTAGTAATGTTTAACAAGCGCGTCTTGCAGACTAATAGACTAGTTAATTCGACCCATTTTTTAAAGCCCCGCTATCGTGGCCTTATGCCAGAATAAATCTAAGCTTAGCCAATAATTATAACTCGCTGAACCAAGTTAATTTATGTACTGCGATAATTAGAAAATTCGTCTTGCAGACCAATTCGGATATATATTACTCGAAGCTCCTTTATTGTAACCTCATGCCAGACTAAGCTAAGCTTAGTAAGAAGCTATAGTTCGTGTAGCCTGGGCACCATATCGTGCGATGGTTAACAAAATCATCCTGTAGACTAATTTGCTAGTGTAGTTAGTTCGACCCATATTCGAGATACTTGTTTTGTGTCCTTGTACCAGACTAAGCCAAACTACGCAAATAATTATGTCACATATAATATGACAGTATAGTAGCTCGATTTTAATCGAGATCCCTCTAGTGTCGACCCATATTCGAGACACCTATTTTGTGTCCTTGTACCAGACTAAGCCAAACTAAGCAAATAATTATAAGTCACATATAATACAACAGTATATTTGCTCGATTTTAATCGTGACCTCTCTAGTGTGGCCTTTTGCCAGATTAAGTTAAGCTTAGTCAATTATTATAATTCTCAGAACCTGGGCACCTTATGTAATACAATGGTTAACAAGCTTGTTTTCCCAATTAATTTAGTCGTGTAGTCAATTCGACTCTCACTAGGTCCCCTTGTGCCAAACTAAACAAAGCTTTGCCAGTTAATATAACTCACAGTACCTTATAAATCATCATTTAAAATTTATTCGTTGTGGTATACATCTAATTATATCCATATTGTAACAGTTTTTGCAAGTAAATAATTTACTTGGACATTCTCTGTGCTGACAGAAATAAAGAATAAAAATATATTTGAAAAAGTGTTTTTGTTTTAAAACGAAAGCAGTAAGCCTCCCACGATCTAAAATAACATTAATTTCAATAGTCGTTGTCACGATTGTTGATATGATTACAACGATATTTCAATACGGATGTTATTATTATTATTGTTGTTATGATAATACATTGTTATTATTAACATTATTGTTGGTATTGCTACTGTTGTTTGGGATCTCTAGCGGTCTGTTGCCATTTATCAAAAAAGTGTGTGTTCTTCTGGTGTCCACCAAACATTGATGGTGTGGTCTTTTATTTAAAGAAATAAATAAACAAAGAAATTAAAAAGAAACGATGATAAAACAAAACCCCAAAATGAAACAAGTAAAGAAAAAAAATGAAAGAAAAGAAAAATAACGACAGAAACAAACACTGACTAAAAGAAGACAAAAAGAGAAAAGAAAGAAATTAAACAAAAATTAAACCAAACAAGGAAGGAAATAATGAAAAAGAAATGAATAAATAAAAACAACACAGTTAAGAAAGGAAATAGACAAAGAAACAGAAAAAAAAAACGAAAGAAAGCAAAAGTTAAAAAGAAAGCGAGGTAAAACAAATGAAAACAAAGATCAAACAATGAGAGGAAAACGAAAGCAAAAAAAATAAACGAAGAAAAAAAGAAAGGCAAAAATATATGAAAACAAGAGAAAGCAAATAGAGTGAAAAAAAAAAAGAAAATACAAAGAAAGAAAATGCAGAAAGTCATGACTGCTTGTTGTGCCCATCTTTTATGTCCTTTGTCGTACGACGACACGTAGTTAGTTCCCGCGCTTTGTTGTCAGCTCCTCATGCATTTCATGTTTCTTCTCGTGACTTCACGTCACGTGTTAGTCTTGCTCTAATGGCTACTACTTCAGACAAATGTTCTGTTTTTTAAAACTTTTTTTTTCTTGTATTTTATTATACGTTTGGTTTATTTTAATTTTACGCCTTAAACACCTTTTTAAAGTTAAAGATTAACGTTTTTACAGGAAATCTTTCAATTTCATTTTTATCTAAGCATTTAAAAAAATACCCTTTCCTGATTACTTTACTGCTAGGGATTCATTTAGCAATTTTGCAATTTAGGGTAAATTATTTTAGCTTGCCTTAAATTTCGCTAAAATCATGTATATTTTTCCCCTTTTTTTACGCTAAGTCGTGTCAGGGGTAGGTGATTTCCTTATATTATCATCTTTGAAGAAATAATGGATTCATGCCTTTCCCAAGAAAATTTGCACGAAACTAAATGCAGGAAACGAGGCAGTGAGTTGAATTCGATTTGCAGTTTTCTAAAACCTGCAATGTTTGGGTTGACAGGTTTTAAAATTGTTCACACAGTTATTTTTTAAGAGTAATAAAAGAGTTCTATTTCCTAAAACAATTAATATTTTTATCGGTCCTTTTAAAAACTATTGTTAACATTACTGTCTTTGATAAAAGATTTTCTTGTGACATTGAGTTTACTTCCTTGAATGTTATTTAATTCAAAAGGATTTCTGATGATTTGGCAAAATTTGCAACCTGACTGTGAGAGTTGTATCAAAGACAGTGTTGAAATTAATGGTTGAAAAATTTTAGAAACGGAAAGCTTTGCTTTCAATAACCGCAAAGCTAAAGAAAGTTAACGGGGAAAAAATTATAAAATGTGTACACGTCCTCTAACCGATTTCAAGAGCGCCAACTCTCTGTAATCCGATCAAAGATTCGTCAAAGGTTTTATACATATTATTTGTTTCTTTTTCTATTAATCCAGGGTACTTAAAAAATAGGTATATTATAAATGAGTCAGAAGGTTTTTATTGAGTTGTTAATAACTAAAACTACGTAACGACCTATAACATCTGATAATCCGATTGGTCTCGGAAAAAAAAGAAGGTCGGGGTTTGGAAATGGACTATCCTTTATTGGAATGCTTATGTTCCGTAAGGGTACTTCAATTCCTCTTTGCTAAAAGATGTTAAAAAACAGGTATTTTACATAGTAAGTATTTATTTCCAAGAAAAAACACTTTCCTTGTCATTGTAATTGATACAACGTAGTGCATAGTTTTAACCATGGAAACTGAAAGTTTTCATGAAAAAGTAATAATCAAATTAGGTCTTGGTGTGTGTATATATATATATATATATATATATATATATTTATAGAGAATAGAGAGTCCAAAGAGAGAGAGGGGAGAGAGAGAATATATATAGATAGATAACAACCCTGTTCCATTTTAATAATCATTTCAACATTTTATAATAATTTGGGCATTTCCGGTTGCTAGAATATGAAAAAAAACGAAATAAAAAATGTTGAAAGGAAAAAAAATGATAACTTGCATAAACGAAATTTTTTCGAAAATACACTCCCTTCTCATGTCTGTCTCTCTGTCCCAACCTGGTTTCTCTCTCTCTCTCTCTATCTTGTAAACAATCTATATATATATATATATATATATATATATATATATATATATATAATATCACTTGATAATTAGTAGGGATAATTCTAAGGAGGATATAAGTTGAAAGAGATTCAATGTAAGAACAGACTTTTACAGAATCTGTGCCCTTGAAAAAGTAAATTCAGTCAGGTGATAATTTATTTCGTGGACTTCAGACAAAATTTTACAACAATAAATAGAGTACAATTTATTCAGACACATGGAAAGAAAAAAGGAAGAGAGTGAAAAGAGAAAAAGGAAAAAAAATATTATTAAAAGGGAAAAGAAAAAAGAGGGAGAAAGGCAGATATTTCAATATAAGGTTTGTTAAGGGGAGGAGAAAGAGAGATAAACATGGGGAGGAGAAAGAGAGTGAAAGGGAAAATTTTTTTTAAGCTTTTCAACATGGTCACCCAGTATAAAAATTTTTTATTAACCCTGAACTTGATATCAGTTAATGTTAGGGACCAATTTAGGGGGCTGATCATAACATTACTGGTATCATAATGAGTGATCATAACATTACTGGTATCATAATGTGGTGCAATATTTTCCAATAAAACTCTTTCAAAAATAACTATATATTAAACCCTCATTGTAATTTTTAAAGATGGAGTTTCAACAAATAAAATAGAGGATCATCTGTTGGTCGCAGACTCCCAATATCTATGTATTAAAGAAAAATTATAATGATTAAATATAAAAAGACATAATTTTATATCTACGTTTGTCTTTGCATTTTTAAGATTTTAGTCACTTAAAATGGTCCTTGACTTAACTCTTTATTAATTTAATCATT